CGAAGGTGAGTGATGTACTCGCCATTGATGTTAATACCGTATCCTTTCTAGTCCAGTAGCTTGAAAAGGTTTTCCAATGCAACGGTAAAGAGTTTCGGGGATATAACGTCGCCCTGTCTTACACCTCTCTGCAGGTGGATAGGTTTCGTACTCTGGTTCTGTACTCGGATAGCCATCGTAGCCCTACTGTACAAACATTTCAGCACTTCGATATATCTGAAGGGACTGTAGCACCACCCATATTTCAACGGGATCAAAGGCTTTCTCATAGTCCACATACGCCAGACATAGTGGCGAATTGTACTCCTCGGACTTCTGTACAATTTGCCGAAGGGTATGTATGTATGTGGTCTATGGTGCTAAAGCCTTTTCGGAAACCGGCTTGTTCAGAAGGCTGGAAGTCGTAAAGCTTGCGCGCGAGACGTTTTGTAATGACTCTCGAAAACAGCACGTAGACGCGGCTCAGAAGTGAAATCGGTCTGTAGTTCTTCAAGAGAGCATTGTCACTTTTCTTGAAGAATAAGACCACCGCACTTCTGCTCCACGCCTCCGGTGTAGTGCCACCATGGAGGACGGAGTTAAAGAGCTTCTGAAGGACTTCAAGTACCGGTTTTCCACCCGCTTTCAGAAGCTCCGCTGTAATTCCATCCTCGCCTGGGGCCGTTTTTAAGATGCTGGAGAGCCATTCTAATCTCGCTCAGACTGAATAGTGTCGGATAAGACTCGCTCTTGGATCGTTACACACACTTGCATGTGGCTCCAACGAAGACGTGTACAGCTGCCCATAGAACTTCTCAATCTCACTCAAAATCTCAGGTGTCCCGGAAACGACGCTGCCACACTCGGTCTTCAGCTTTGACAGTTGGATCTTTCTGGCAGACAGATCTCTGGCAAAGACTGGAGCCTTGGTTCCGCTCGATCGCTTCTTCAATACAAGCTGTATTGAAGTTGCGTAAGTCCCGCCGCATTCATTTGGAGATTTGTCTGTTCAGTTGCCTGTATGCTGTCAAATCTGTTGAAGACTGCAGCTTCATTTCCCGTCTAACAGCCATGAGATTAAGAGTATGATCGGAGAGTTTTTGTGTTCTTCTGCGGCGGGTCTTGCAGAACTTCGCTCCGACCGCATGGACAGTTTCCACGAGCTTATCATTTATATCATCCACTTCATTGCAGTCTTCTAGGCACTGAAAACGGTTTTGTAGCTCGAGCTGAAAGGTTTCGGGACTTTGGACTAGAGCACGAGGGGGACGGAGCGTTGACTTCATTAGACGAGAGATCTCCAACTTAACGTTTAGGTTCAGAGTACCTCTAACCATTCGGTGATCGCTACCAGTTTTCACCCTCCCGATCACTGAGACATCACTGAACAGTTGTGGTCTGGTCGTCATAATGAAGTCAATCTCATTTTTGTCGAACCGTCGGGTTTCCCTACCTTCAGCTCACCTTTCTCTCTTATGCCTAGTTTTGCATTGAAGTCTCCTATTGACACCGTATAATGGGTTTTGGAGGAATGCATGGCTCTAGAGATATCCTCATACATTTCCTCCACCTCCTCATCGGGGTTTGCCGAGGTTTGTGTGTAAACCTGTATGACCTTCAGCGAATACCTTTTGGTGATTCTGAGTATAAGGTATGCAACCCTCGTCGACACACTTCCAATCTTTACAACGTTGTTAACGAGAGACTTATGGACGATAAATCCGACACCTCCTTGGAACAGGTGGTCGCCCTCCCATTGATAGAACAAGTTGCCGGATTCGAGGATTACCGTGTCCTCCCCCTGTCTTCGGACCTCGGATAGTCCTATTATATTCCATCGCAACTGGTCTATCACTTCTTCCAGCTCCAGGATCTTCTCGTCAGTCCTCAGGATGCGTGCGTAACCAAAGCTGGTAATTCTGGCGGTATGAATGATGAGATTGAAAGAAAAAAGGCAGACTTTAGACGTATAAATAAGAGAGTAAAAGAAGTTGTTGAAAGGAAAAAGCAAGAAAGGATAGATAAGAATGATAGAAGGATATCTGATAACTTACAGGAAAATATTAAAATGTTCTGGAAGCTCGTAAGAACTGCCAGGGGAAATTCAAAACAGCCTAGAATGAATGCTATACGAGATGAGAATGGCTGCATGCTGTATGATGAAGTTTCGAATTTAAAGAGATGGAAGGAATACTTTGAAAGCGTGTTTAAGAGTGAAGAGTCGTCTGAAGTAAGTGAAGTAGAAATTCCGGAAGAAGTGGAGAGAGGTAGGGAGATAAGTGTAGATGAAATAATGAAAGCAATGAAAAGCATGAAAGCAGGTGAGGCAGCTGGATATGATAGAATATCACTCGAAATGCTAAGGGCTGGAGAGGGTGTGGTTGCAAGCCTGCTGTGTACCTTGTATAATTTATGTTGGGAACTGAAGCGGGTACCGGAAGACTGGTGCAAAGCCGTTATAGTCCCAATATATAAGGGAAAGGGCTCGCAGCAGGACTTAAAAACTACCGTAGTATCAGCTTGCCTAGCATTGCGGGTAAACTGTATGCTAAGGTGTTAATTGAAAGAGTTATGACGGCTCCGTGGTGCAGTGGCTTAGCAATGAGTTGCTGCGCTGGGGGGCGCGGGTTCGAATCCGGCACGGAACAAATATTTGTATAATGCCTATAAATGATTGTTCCGGGTCTGGATGTTTGTCCTTGTGAAATTTGTGTTTGTAAACTGCCTCCACGATACAGGAGAAAATCCTAGTGTGGGGGTAACGTTTTTTTAGAAAAAAAAAGTTATGGAAGAAACTGATGTTTCAAAACATTTGGGATGTGCAAGCTGGATTTAGAAAGGGGATGGGGTGTATTGATCAAGTCTTTTCCAAGCGCATGATAGCGGAGAAGTTTTTGGCCAAAAACCAGAAAGTTTTTTGTGCGTTCATGGACTTGGAAAAGGCTTATGACAGAGTGGACAGGAATGTGTTATGGCAAACACTGAACTCATTTGGGTTGAGCGCTGGCTTGATACAGGCATTAAGGTCTCTTTATAGGGACTCTAGGGCTTGTGTCAGGATCAACGGGGTCTACTCGGACTGGTTTGGCATTCATAAAGGTGTCAGACAGGGATGTCTGGCTTCCCCGTGGCTGTTTAACCTATTTATGGACAGTTGTTTGCAAACTTTGAAAGTTGAAGAATGTGGGTTGAGAATGTGTGAGTTAACCATCAAATGCCTTTTGTACGCCGATGATCAAGTCATATTTGCATCGTCGGCGGCCGAGTTACAAATGATGGTTACTTTAATGAACTGGTCACTGAAAGAAAGGGCTATGAAAGTGAACGCAAGTAAGACGAAAGTGATGGTTTTTGAAAGAGAAGAAAGTAAAACGTTATGTGAAATAAGAATAGAAGGGGAGTTGATTGAGCAAGTGGATGAGTTTGTATATTTGGGATGTTTATTTAGCAGGGATGGTAGATATGATAAGGATATAGAACGACGAGTGAACGCAGGAAATAGAGTGAATGGGGCTTTACATGCTATTATGAGGAGTCAGAATGTGTCAAATAAGGCACGTATGGCAATTCATAATGCTGTGTTAGTCCCTACTTTAATGTATGGTAGTGAAAGTTGGGTCTGACAGAAGAAGCATGAGAGTAGAATAAATGCTGTAGAAATGCGGTCCTTAAGGAGTATGCTAGGTCTGAATCTGAATGACAGTGTAAGAAATAGTGTGATAAGAGAAAAGTGTGGTTTGCAAGATGACGTTGTGACAATGATTAAGAAAAGAATGCTTCGGTGGTTTGATCATGTAGAAAGAATGAAGGAGGAAAGAGTGACAAAGCAAATTTATGTTGCAGAAGTGAATGGCAGGGTCGGGAAAGGACGCCCTAGACGAAGGTTTATCGACCAAATCGGCGATACATTAAAAATGGGCCAGATTAGGTTCAGAGTACCCTTAACCGACGAGCGTGTATGCGTAGATATATGGATGTAAAGGAGGCGAGAGAGGTGTGTCAGGATCGCGCCAAATGGAAGCCCGTAGTCTCTGTCTACCCCTCTGGGTGACAGGCGTGAGTGTTTGTGTGTGTGTGTGTGTGTTCTATGGACCAGTATTACTTGTGGTTTCATTTATTGCATATATGTGGATTCCTTACTGTATTTATGTAAGGATAGTAGAGAAATGCTGGCGTTTGTGATAGTATCGTAAAATGAAAACTATTCACCTTTTTGATAAAATACACCCGTGCAAAACGACTCGCTACTAAAGAATATATTAACAAGTTTTATTTTTAATAAGAGCCGTGGTAGCTCAGGGGCTAAGCGCCGGCACCAATCTTTATATATAAAAATTACATGTCATATTGTTTGTCCGCGACGTACTTCTAAACTACTGAACTGATTTCAATTAAATTTTTCAAACTGTGTGCAGTTTGGTCCAACTTGAGAGATAGGATATTTTTTATCCCGATAAGTATTAGTGTCAATATTTTTTTTATTGCGAATTTAATAATTTTTATAGGAAGGGTCTACTGAAAGGGCAGAACAACGTCTGCCTGGCCATCTAGTGAAATTATAAATTGTAATTTTAAGTGCCGATTTACCACGTGCTCTACGGTGCAGGAAAACATCGTGAGGTTATGTCTGAGAAATAAGAAAAAAAGTATATTTCGAAGACCTGAAGTTCACCAACACGCATTGGGGCAGTGCGGCGGACCCTTGCTTGCCCTAAAACCCACTCAGAAATGAGAGGAGGCCTGTGCCTTACAATGAACCGTATGACCGTATATAGGCTGTAACTGACTATTTTTTGCTCAGATTTTTGGTATTTTACTGGCACTACATAATTATATTCCCAGTAGAAGTACATATCTAAGAATTTTATCTAAAGATAGATCTATTGTTATATCATCTTTGGTATTATCTGTAAATTATATAAATTATCTGTCAGTGTCTCTTTCATTATCCATTATTTATTCCGTAAAATAATCAAAATTTTTGTAATATAGCAGCTTAACTTTTTGGAATAAAAATCAAAATGGAAAAGTACAAGATGCCCACTGTTCAACAATTTCTTACTAAAAAGGTAAATAAATTTTCATAGGCCTAGAACGCACCACTAATTTTATTATTGCGATAAAATCGTATAAACGCGTTGTAATACTTAGCTTCTCTTACCATCTTTATGCAGATGGTGATGACCTGCAAATTTATACTCAAGCTGACGTAGACTCTTTATGAGGTGTTATTTCCAGACTCAATATGGTCTTGACGAATTTTCACTATTGGTCTCGTAGTTTGGTATTAGTCTGAACCCTAATAAATGTCAAGCCACAATAATTGGTAGTTTCAACAATTATCTAAGCTTGACGTCATCATATCATAACGTATTCTGATAGTGTAAAAAATTTAGGTGTCTACTTTGACACAACCGTGTGTTGATCCACCAAAATTCGGAATATCAGTGGTTATGTTTTTGTTAAGCTCAGTGCTTCGATCCGTCTTAAAAATTTTCTTGCGGCCAAGGTAACTATAAATGGTGCAATGTCAATGATATTTTTGTATATTATATCACTGTACAATCTCTTATTACGTCGCTGTATGTTATCCTCGTCTCAATGAGGTCTTCCTACACAAGCTGGATCGTCACGTCAATAACTGTTTTATATTTCGTCTTCGCAAGTTTGATTATGTATAGTCATTCAACTCTCAGCTTAAATGGCTATTCGTTAGGGAAGATTAGGATAATTACCACATTTTTTCAATTTTATTCGATAACCACTATCCGAATTATGAGAAACATAAGTTTCAGTTCCTTTGTGATACTCATGATAGACAGCTTCGTTGGAGACTCTTGCTCTCTTTATTTACCCCTTCACCGTTCAGGTTTGCTGTCCAACCACGTCGCGGCAAGTTGCAGCAAGTTGTGACAAATTAAAATTTTAATATCACTGAGATTTTTTCTTACATGCACGCGCAATGGAGTACTTATACGTTGCAATTCTGCAATAAAACACAGCGTAAGAAAACCATTTAGCGCACTAGGACCCATGTTCGTTTATAACCAAACATCGTTTAATTAGAGCCTCCGGTAGGAGCACTGGTCTTCAGGTTTCGCAATAAGGACAGTGAACCAGTAAGCTCATTTATTTAGTTTTTGTGATTCGCTAAACGATTATTTTGAAGAAATTAATATAATAAATACAGGCCACTAGGTATAAGAAAACATTGTGTATGCACCAAAATGTGATTCGCTTTTGCAAAACTTTATAAATCGATAGGTACGTTAAGCAGCAACCAATAACTGCAGCGCAGCTTATAGCGATCAATTGCCGCGAGTTGCGTTCCTAACAATGTAATTTTCTACCAGTACCTGTATGGGAATTGATAGACACACATATCGATAAAATTATTTATGCCTGTATCTTTTCGATCGAACAGAAGCCACTAATGTGACCCAACATCGACGCTTCTACGTAAAAAAGTCAGCGAATCTGATGGTTACCAGTCAAATGCTTGAATATTTTCACTCGAATAATTTCCAGTTTTGACACATTTGTTTTATTTCTCTCCGAAAACTGGGATACTAGGTACCGACATCTGATTGGATGTAGTAACCACCTTGTCAATTACAAGACTATATCAATTACTTACTCTTGTAAGATTATGAAGCGTATATTGAACTCGCACCTCATAGCATGCCTGCAAGACAACACCTAATGTCCTTATAGGTTTCACTGGCACTACTCGCATGGAAATTAATTCTTAATTAATTCGTTAATTGTTTAAATCATAAATTATATATAAGTAAGCTTCCTATGCTTTAAAAAAAAGTATGTTTATAAAAAAGAAGAGATATATTCACCGCTAAAAGTAGCCCGCTCATTTTGGCTCTTACTTTTCGGTATTTATCTTTGTATCACACCCACTGACAAATCACAACATGTAATAATCTAAGATTGTCGTGATTTCGTCGAACCTTAACTATGGTTACCTCAATTATGGTTTAAATCAAAGTTCACTGTTCATGTATAAAATGCAAAGAGTTTTTTTTGCCTAAAATGTACCTACTTATTAACAAGTTCGAATATGGTAAGGCAAATGAATGACTCTAATGGTCCCCACTCACGGTCAGTTAAACTGCTCAGTTGAACTGACGTACATCCAAAAACTGACCGTGAATGTGAAATCTTAAGTTGAAATTTTTAACTGAAGGCAACACACGGATTTTATTCGGGCGTGCTGTCAGTTAAACTGCTCCGTTGAACTGAAGTACATCCAAAAACTGATCGTGAATGTGAAATCTTAAGTTAAAATTTTTAACTGACGGCAATCCACGTATTTTTCCGGGCGCACCGTAATCCGCTGGCTTCAGTTCGTTTTCATTATTGGTAAGTACATGCTTTCTTAGTAGCTTTTATATATATTTTATAATTTTTTATAACATTATTTATGATTTTATATTATTTTATATATTTTTTTCATTAAAAAAAAACGTTACCCCCACACTAGGATTTTCTCCTATATCGTGGAGGCAGTTTACAAACACAAATTGCACAAGGACAAACATCCAGACCCGGAACAATAATTTGTAGGCCATACAAATACTTGTTCCGTGCGGGATTCGAACCCGCGCCGCAATTCATTGCTAAGCCACTGCGCCACCGAGCCGTCATATATATTTAGAGAAGTTGCTTTGACAGAGGATGGAGACCAAGGTGATGGTAATGATGTCACCTTCCTTATGGTGGACTCAGAAGGTGGGTAAAGGATCTCTGTGATGCTACTACGTGGACTCATTTTCAATTGGGTAAATGGAGACCTAGATGACTGTGATGATATCACCTTTATGTTGGTGCTATCCGAAGGTGGGTATAGGATCTCAGTAACGACACTAGATAGAAAGACCGCGTTTGAACTCATTTGAATGGGCTCATAAAGACCTAGGTGACTGTTAGACCTCACCTTTTTGATGGTGCAATCCGAAGGTGGGTATAGGGTCTCAGTGGCGGCACTAGATAGAACGGTCGTGTTTGAACTCATTTAAAAGGGCTCATAAAGCCCCAGGTGACTTTTATGACCTCACCTTTCTGATGGTGCAATCCGAAGGTGGGTATAGGGTCTCAGTGGCGGCACTAGATAGAACGGTCGTGTATGAACTCATTTAAAAGGGCTCATAAAGCCCCAGGTGACTGTTATGACCTCACCTTTCTGATGGTGCAATCCGAAGGTGGATATAGGATCTCAGTGGCGGCACTAGATAGAACGATCGTGTTTGAACTCATTTGAAAGGGCTCATAAAGCCCCAGGTGACTGTTATGACCTCACCTTTCTGATGGTGCAATGCGAAGGTAGGTATAGGATCTCAGTGGCGGCACTAGATAGAACGATCGTGTTTGAACTCATTTGAAAGGGCTCATAAAGACCTAGGTGACTGTTATGACCTCACCTTTCTGATGATGCAATCCGAAGGTGGGTATAGGATCTCAGTGGCGGTACTAGATAGAACGGTCGTGTATGAACTCATTTGAAAGGGCTCATAAAACTTAGGTGACTGTTATGATATCCCCTTTCTGATGGTGCAATCCGAAGGTGGGTATAGGATCTCAGTGACGGCAGTAGAAAGAAGGATCGTATTTGAACTCATTTGAATGGGCTCATAAAGACCTAGGTGACTGTTATGATCTCACCTTTCTGATGGTGCAATCCGAAGGTGGGTATAGGATCTCAGTAACGGCACTAGATAGAAGGATAGTGTTTGAACTCATTTGAAAGGGCTCATAAAGACCCAGGTGGCTGTTATGACCGCACCTTTCTGATGGTGCAATGTGAAGGTGGGTATAGGATCTCAGTGACGGCACTAGATAGAACGATCGTGTTTGAACTCATTTGAAAGGGTTCATAAAGACCTAGTTTAATGTGATTATATTACCTTCATGATGGTGAACAAAGAAGGTGGGGTGAAAGATCTCAGTTATGCCACTTCGAAACACCATCGTGTTTGGGCTCATTTGGAAGGGCTCAAGAAGTAACTACACAAATAATATAAATATAATAAATAGTACAAACAGTATTATTACTCACTTTATAATGTTTTCAGGCAATTAAAAGCAGCAAAACTCCTAAGTAGGTACAAAATTAGAAATCGACCATATATTTTACAGGCAATAAAAAAAAGGCAGAACGGAAAAAGCATAACCAACTACAACCAGAAGACGAAAATATATGTGTACTTCAAGAAAACCTACAAGCACCATTAGCACCAATTCCTATAAATGACCAAATTACCTGTACGCAGTATTTAGAATTGAATGATTTTTGACTGATTTATTACACGAATACTACACATTCAATAAAACAAACTTAACGGATTTTATTTTGTATAACTTATTTTAATTCATAACGTTTGTGTGCTTCAACTTTAGTATGTAACACGTCGAGAGCTCAATTAGATAAACATAAAAAGCTAGGCCATCCTAACTATTTCCGTTACTGAAAACCGATAAGCATTATCTGGTCATCATAAGACCTTCAGAATGTGCCCATGCCCACGGGGTTTTTTTGGGTTCACCGTAACCGGAGTGCAAGTTAGTATCAGTGGGGTGTCGCCCGCTCTACAGATCGGTAATTTAATAAACAGATAAAAATAAATAACACATTTATTAAATAAATAAAATTTACCATAATGAGTAAAATTATCATAATATCTGACCCATTTCTTAAAAGTGTTTTAATACTAACCTTATCATGAATAAAAATATCTTTTGAAGTGTTAATATATCAGAAACGTTATTTATATACATATATACCTATATACGGAACGGATTTCATTTCTCGATCGATGAAGCCGCAGCCGTGCGCGTTTAGTTGACGTGACTCCGATAAATTAAAAATATCATTTCATATCTATTAACTAGCTGTTCCCCGCGACTTCGCCGTGTAATTTATTACGATTGGATTTCATGGGTTTTAATTTTTTGCACGGAACCCTAATTCTTTTTCTAAATTAAAATTAGCCTAAGTTCCTCCATATAATATCCGTTATCTGCACTAAAAGTCTCGTCAAAATCGGTTCAGCCGATTCGG